GGGGGGGGGGGGGGGGAGATGTTGCCCTCTGGCAGAATTACTGGTAGTTAAAATTGAGCACACACTCACTAATGGAGCAGAGCCAGTAAGCCTCCACCCTGGCACAAGGCAACTATCAGCATCAACACTGTTGCACAATGTCTAATTATGATGTAACTGGCTTGTTACATAGAGTCATGGGTCATGACACGAAACAGGTCAATAATCCATACTTATGTGAGAAACAAAGATCTCGCTGGGCTGTTTTTCCTTCTTTATTGGGTCAAAAGGGGCTAACCGTGTATCTACTTCCATTCCCAGAGGTGTCTTTAGCTTAGCGAATCCAGAAGGCCACAGCTCCTATGTTGAAGAACTATTCTCGTTGCTGTTTATAGGGGTGCGTGCTTTTTCATGATCCCACAGCTTCTTGATTCCTGGTGCCACATTAACCGTGGAGAGCAAGACGCCATGGGGGGGAGTTATATGTGCTGTAACCAGATAGACATGGAGAGGGACTGCAGAGTGTATGAAGTTCAAGAGAGGGGCAACGATCTGGGATGGGTGGAAACACAAGAACAACAGCAACCTGGGTGCAGGCACTAATGTGGTGTTGGGAAGATGATATGTGTGATGTCAGGATGCTGGATTGGCAACACATTGGTAAGATATAATGAAATGTAGGCATCGAATTACTGCATGATGGAGAATAAAAATGATAAAGGGTATTAAGCGCTCTGGAGTGGAACGATATTAGTTTATGCATTTTAATCACACATCCGCACAGATATCCGTATACAATCTGAACCTATTTGTTTTGAGTAAAAAATACTTTTGATTTCATCTAGTAGAGTATAACATTGCACTTTAAGCAGAAAAGATCACTGCATTCCTATCGGCCCATGACGGAGAATGTGACACCTTGACTAAAATCCACAAGAAAAAAGGGAGATCTGACTGTTTCCACACAATAACAGTGATATGGTGAACTTCCTGGAGATTGGCGAGGGGAGATGGATGCCAGCGGGGGAGACAGCGTAACAGAATGAGGGAGGCAATCAGGGTCAGATAGATTAGGTGTCTGAGGTGCAGAGATACGACGCAAGGTAGTTACACCTGACTTGGCAGAGGTCCCTCTAACAAATCATCCCGCTCATCTCTCCGCTTTTATCTGCTATACCTTCTCCTCTCCTTCTGCCTTCATTCCCTCCTCTTCTCATGCATGCACTCGTTTCTCAGGTTTCAAGTAAACAGCTGATTTATGGTGCATTGAGGTCACTGTTGACAAAGGCAGCAGAGCATATTTTAGACTGACAAAAACATTATGATATGCACTAACTACAGCCTGTGCAATTTCATGTCACATATGATCCTTTTGTATCAATGGAAGATATAAGCTTAGGTTATGCTGTTCATACAGGTTTAGTTTTTTGTGTGACACCATATTTCATTTATTTGAAACATTTCATCACTATATGTGAACAGAAAACTCACAGGGTTCAATTGTTGTCATTCTTTAAGATAATCCCGGAAAAAGATTACCTATGGCAGTACATTTCTTCATTTCTAATTTAAACCTAACATCACACATCACTGTTGCTGACTTTTGCATCTTCACCATTCCTGCATTCCTCAGCTTAATGAACCTCGAGTACCTGAGAGGATTCCCCCTCACACAACACACTTGTCCCTATAAGAGTCAATTAGATCCCTTATCGTAACCATTAGTGGCTCCTTTTCCAAATTGCTCTTCTATCTATTACTTTTTGAAGACCAATATTTTATCAAATTGTATTTAACACTAAGCAAATATTAAAACCAAACACATAACAAGTTTACTCTCTAAACATTGTAAATATTTGACATTACATGCTTTCATTCTTTGCATTTCTATCCCTATTTGTAAAAAAGAAAAGCGCATTTGTCCCCCTAAAAGAACGATATACAGCAAGACGGCATCTTTAGAACTTTGTTAAAAGAGAAAGCAGCTTAAGACACTGAGGATGAATTGAAGAAAAGATGAGCTTGTCACTAACTTATGAAAGCAAAAATAAATGGCATAGATTACAGAGTGATCACGCTCATGTTTAAGAGCTTTCACATGCCATTTAATTATTGTCACATAAATACTTAAATGTCCAGTCTCACTTGTCCAAATAAAGAGGTTGAAATTATGGGTTCATTCTTTCTTTCTAATTCTTTTTTAACTCATCTTAACATTGCAGTGTATCCCCAGTTTCCAGCTTTCCTGTTATAATGCTACGGGTTGGACCATCTTACCTGGCTTCTGGGGCTCAGGCATGTCTCTTTCGTTTTATAGTGATTCCTCTGATAGTGTCTTCCTCCCTCCTTGTCTGTGTGTCTGCCTGAATTTCCGCCTTCATCCCTTTTTATCACCTCAACACCCCCTCCCCCTCAAACACACACACTACAACTGTCAGTGACTTCATCCTCCCCCCAACAAGTGGAACAAGGAAGGAAGAGAGCGACAGAATGGCTGTCACTTGAAACCTTGGCAGGAACTGCAGGGCTTTGAAGAGCAGAAGGAAGACACCATGATGGGTAAAAGCGGTTCAGAGTCATAAAGAAAAGTCCAGCCCTCGAGGGAAACTGCCAGAGGATTAACTCGTTAGGCTCTGGAGCCAGGACGTTAACAAGCTGACTGATGCTAATCAGATCCACCAGACAATATGATGGAGTGATTCAGCAGCGGCGTGCACTGCTAAAAAAAGGTTTAATTAATTCAATTAAAATACTGTAGTGGAGTCCACTACAATGGTACGGTGCAGATGGAGTCAAATGGTGGACTGACATTTTTGGGGAGAAAAGAGAAGCTTTTATTTATCAATTTCTTGAAGGACTAAAAGATTGAACAGACACATCAAACTACTTGAGTCAACAAAAACTTGGATTAGATGAAAATGCCGGCAATCAATTCACTGCATTGGGGCTTTCATTTCTTGTTTAAAGAATGGCCGACATCTCAGTTTAACAAACTGTAGACGTTTAAATGAATAGTTAGTAAAGATTGAACATAATCTCGCTTAAGAAAGCATCCTTTTCCCTACTCTACCCAGCGTTACAGATGACCTAAAGTTAAATGGGTCATATAGATTCCACTTATATCATGATGCAAGTGCAGCACCTATTCTACTAATGTGTGCAGGGAAAAACATTACAGCGACAGAAGGTGATAACTGTTAATTTAGTAGCTCTTTGTCTAAAAGTACAGAGCAGATGATCAATTAATGGCACATTTTATGATTAATTTGGGCAGAAAATGATTATCCCATTAAGACATGAAGCTTCAGAGTTGAATAGAAAATCAGTGAAAAGTGTTTTCAACTATCAATAACCCTGAGGAGGATCTTGTGTTTACAAGAGTCAGAGTGAAATAAGGCCCCAACCTCAATAACTTTCACACCGTCCCTATTTGAAGAGTAAAAAAGCAGCAGCGGCAGCCTTGTGTTCCTATAGGCTCTGACAATCCCATTTGTTCTCCAGTAGCCATAGCTGTCAACAGGGTGTATTTTACTGAAAGCCCTCCAAAGGGATTTGAGGAACAAGGTCAAAGACAGTGGGAGGAGGTCACCGACCTTTTGAATTCCCGGAGAGGTATAAACTCCCCAACCCACAGACATGACTATAGACACACATGCTAAGAATTTGTCATATATTTATCATGTGTTGTGGTATAAACAAACAGTATAAATAGTATTGTACTCATACGAGTGATAGAAGTAGGTTGTTCTTTCTTAAATTCCATGGCAATGCCAACCCAAATGGGAACTAAAAACATTGGTGTTAAATTATGCATTTAAGAAGCTTTTCACTTTCCATTCTTTCGCTTGTATACAGCAGCCCCTTTTATGCATTCTCCATTTGTTTTCTGGCTGTCCAAATTGCCGAGCCTGCTAAAACCTTGGCTATAACAATAAACAATCTTTGAGACTTTAATTTCGGAGAGAGAAGTTAAGTCAGACAGAGACACATGAAGAACTGCTATTTGAGGCAAGTGCAACTTGAGATTCAGATGTTCAAGGAGAACCAAATACCCTCGAGAAAGATTATAGAGGGCTGTTTGAATAGGGCATTAAAGGTCCCTGAGGCCTACTGTATATTCCAACTTTACACTACATGAATTTTAAGCAGAATTGTTTTTATTAAGTCTTTTTGATGCGCTCACAGCTCATCAGGGGTGATGTATTCTGTGACTTAACTGTGAAGGTTGAAATCATATGTATATTGTGGATTCAAAGCAGATATAGGAGACTAACTATAGGTGTCCTAGATGATCCATTGATCCGCTGTAGAAGATGACACCAAAGTTATTCAACGCTTGCATTAGTAAAGCTTCACTGGAGTACAAGTTAAGCCAACTGAAGCTCGTCCTCTCAATCTTCACAGCGGCTTTCCCATGACTGTCATCCGTTTAGAGATGAAAGAAGCCAGTAAGTAGTATTTTGTATCAAAATCAAATAATTGTAACATTTTTACAATAAATTAAAAACATTTAAATTGATTTGTCTCCCGGCAGTGACAACATGTGACTGGTATTGTTTTAGACGTATTTGCGTGTGTGTGTGTGTGTGTGTGTGTGTGTGTGTGTGTGTGTGTGTGTGTGTGTGTGTGTGTGTGTGTGTGTGTGTGTGTGTGTGTGTTTACAGGTGCGTAGTTGAGATCAAACTTAGTTTGAAAATAGGTGTCATCCGATGGATGGGGCCAGAATTAGGAGGATATGATGTGGGAGAGGAGCCCCCCTAACATGACGCCCCTAGCCTGATTTGGCTGGTTTGATCCCATCACAAGATGGTGTCCTATACTTTGGTTGTTAAAAGTAAGAGAAAATATAATTATTTTGTGCAAAAACATAATGCAAGCTTTCTCGTATAGGCCTGATTTGGGACACGTCCAAATGGGAGGAGTTTGCCTTCAGGGCTTTTTGCCAGAAAGTGTCTATTTTAACCCTGTGCTTTTTTTCTTTTTAAACCTAACTAATTAATTCTGGCTGAAAGCCCTGAAGCTTCTCCCAAGTTGGCTTCATGCAAAAGTGTATTATATTAATGTAGCGCTTATCTAGATTAGACATTAAACAATGCTTTTCAATAAAAGACAAAAGAACAATATAAAATAGAGACACATTAAGAAAGTAATAGAAACTAAATAAATTACGTTTAAAAAGGTGCGACTCCAAAGGAGCCTTGATAATAGCACAGTGCTTTCTATTTCCGATACCCTTGAACGGGTTCATTTTAGGAAAAGAAAATAAAGTTGGAGAGATTTAGCACAGTGATAAAAAACTTGAAAGCATTAAAATAATCTTGTTTATTGCTGAAATTAGTTGATTCATCAGATCATCAACATTGCAGCATGTACTGTAAAACGTATTAACAGAGACCTCTGTCTGTACATCAGGCTGAGGAAAAAAAGAAAGTTCAGTTCAGTGATGATCCCCAAACTGTGCCTCTTATTTAAACTTTAGATCATATTTCAAAACATGTTCTTTTTCATTTTTCATAATGCTCCATTTTAAACACCACAGGCTTACGGGACATGACAGTGTCTTCCTTCAAAGTGAAAGTCCTGATGGGATTTCATAAAAATATACATGCTTTCTTATTTGACTAAGAATAGTAAGGTGACACCGTTGTTTAAGGCGATGACAGAGAGTTACAGTATGGCCTGTCCCAGCAAGGGGGGGAATATATGCTGTAAAGGCCTGCATAGTTTCAAAGGCAGCGCCCGGGGGAATCATATGCCTCAGTCACCAGATGCTCCATCAGACAGGCTGTTTCATACAGACAGTAATATGATAACAATGATGTGCACATCAAAAACTATTATAATTACAAGAGGTATCCGTGCAAGTATAGTTTATATTAAATCAGAAAGACTGCTGCTTTTTGTTAATATCACAATCTGTTGTTTACTTGTTGTTTTTAATAATGTTTTTCTTTTATTATTCTTTTTATTGTAGCGTCTCAAGAGGAGATGGGGGTTGAACTTATGTATTGGTGGACTTTTTAAGGTTTAGTTAAAGGATGATCTATAATCTGTTGTGCCAAGCAAGACCTTTGTGACAAAACATTTCTGTGCCCATGTTCTTGACCACATTGAGGAAAATCCTGCTATTGTCAATTATGTTTGATATTTTTGTCAGTGATTCTGATGTGAGTCAGATTGTCATTCTCACACATGTTGGGACAGAAATGAGTGAAGATGGTCCTTCACCCTCCAAGCAGGCCTTTTTGAAATAAAGACTTGACTTCTTGATACTCTAAACTTTAAAGGATTAAAACTGGATTCCAAACTTATTTTGTAGCACTTTCGAAGCATAAATGTTGAAGCTAAAAATGATGGATGCCTTTCACTTATATTCACAGAGGTTTTCTAACAAGTCAGCAGAACTCCTCAGCCAGGAATAGGCGTTGAGAAGTAAATCACATCAATCACATTTGAAGCTGCTGCTGCTCTTTTCTCTCTGGTTTGATACTTTTATGTTTTAGGTCCCTTCTGGAAACACCCTTAGATAAGTGAAGTTAGAGACATTATTCCCATCAATAGGCTCTTAAACATAGTTTTGGCTAAAGCAAATTAGTAAATAAAGCCAGGATGAAGCAAACCCAAATATGTAGAATAATGATTCATAAATTCTGGTCTGGAGGGTTACACATTGCATAAAATAAAAATAACTACTGAATGGCCATAAAAACACTGGGAATACATTGGGTTTGAATTCCTAATGCTTCATATCAGAAACTGTATGTAAGAGATAAGTGTGCATTCAAAAGCCCTATGACAAACAGCAAACCAGTCAATATATTATCTCATATAGGGTATTGCTTATTATTGTATTGTTGCCTGGGCCATCAGAGAAACGACAAGTAAAGAGGAGAGAGGCCCATGGTGATTACATGGTCAGTATCTTAAACCTTTAGGCCACCAGGAGGTAGCTGCTAACATTACAAGCTTTCCGGACACGCTTGGTTACAGTAGATGCGCCTATGTTAAATGCCTCAGTCACGTTTTTGGGCAAGAGATCAAAAAGCCAATGGAATCCTCCTCTTCAGCTTTGCAGCCCGAACTAACCAAGTATATTCTCTCAGTAGTGATAACAGTTACCCACAGATAACACCCAACATTTGTACATGGAAGTCAGATCTTATCACAAGAGGTCATTCTTGTAGCTGCAGTCCATCCCAGCTGGATGAGACACGATCTGAATATAAGACGCTGATCTTGGTCTTAAGATAAGTGAAACTGCAGTTTTCTGCTCTGTGTGACTCAGAACAGATTTACTCCTAAAAATGACTTTTAGGTAAACAAAGCTCAGCTGAGGTGGACTGACATGGAATGCTGACTTAGGAATTT